AAAAAAAAAAAAAAAAAAAAAAAAAAAAAAAAAAAAAAAAAAAAAAAAAAAAAAAAAAAAAAAAGAGAGAGAGAGAAAAAAAAAAGAAGCTTCGCACTTGGCGCCCAGTGAACTGCAGCAAATTTTAGGCGGGTTTTCCCGGCACGTAAATTAGGGCTTTGAAATATACCCGCCGTTTGTTTTTCGGGATACCCGCCGTTTTTTTTAGATTACAATTTCAATATGACAAAACGAAAATTCAAACATCCACATCCAACCAATTTTATTTTAAATAATTTACCATTTTCTATTTTAAATTTATTAAAATTATATTAATTTTTTTAAAAATAAATATAAATTATTTTAAAAAATAAAAACTATCCATTAAATTTTTTGTATATCATAATATATATAAATATTATTACTAAAATAAATGAAAAAGGTAATTTTTGAAATTATTGGAAAATTCACAATATAATTTTAATTATTCAATTTATAATTAAAAAATAAATAAATAAAGGAAGCTGTTGAGGAGCTAGTGAAGAAGAAGAAGGGGAAGAGGAAATTGCAGATTATGGATAGCTATGGAGAAGCAGACCTCGAAAATTAATCAGATTTTTTTTTTTTTTTAATAAAAACTAAATTATAAGAGAGAGAGAGAGAGAGAGAGAGAGAGAGAGAGAGAGGTTGAAGGACAGAGAGAGCAAACGAAAGTTCGAAGCTCCGGAGGTTCGAACTGAGCCACTCAGCTTCAATTTCTCTTCGATTTGTCCAGTTCGTCAAAGGCCAGAGTTGAAGCAATCCCTATGCTGTTGTTGTTCAAATGTTATTGAGCTTAGTCGGCGAGATTCAATGTGCTTAATATCTCTGCAATTTGTGCTCTGTTCACACTATTCAACTTCGCGCAACTCACTGATCTCTTTCTTTGACTGCGAAATTCCGTGTTTCGAACTTCCGAGCTTGTGAATTTTGCTCAAAGAATGATGTGTTTGTATTGGTTCGTGGACTCAATACGCGTTTCTCGGTAGTTTTTGATTTTTTTTTCCCCGTGTTCTGAACTCGAGTTTCTTTGTTTCGAAGTTAGGGTTTTGATTTGCGATTGTTTTGCAATAGGTTTGATTTGGTGTTTGAAAATTTGGCGGGATTTAGTGAGCCATGTAGTGAATTTAACTTCTAGGGTTGTGGTTTGAGAAGTTGCGATTTGGAGTTGCATTCTGTGCTTTGTAGCTGGGAAAGGAAAATGATCAGTTGGAAATATGATTGCTGCAATTCTGTTGAAATCCATTTCGGGATTTACTTGATCTGGTGGGGATGAATTTTAGGAATTTGCTCAAATCATGCTGACTCTTGTAGGTTAACCTGCATTGACTGATATGTGGAAGTGAAAATTTTGTGTGTTTTTTCATGTTCTTGTTTCGGTGAACTTGAATAGTGACTGTGCTTCTCTCCGTGTCTGGAATTGAGTGATTTGTGAAGGGTGTGTGACTCTGTCTGCTGAGAAATGCAACCTCAGCAGAGCTTGAGAATTGACTTGTGTGAATTGAAATCTCAAATAGTGAAGAAGCTCGGAACTGATCGGTCGAAACGGTACTTCTTTTACTTGAATAGGTTCTTGAGTCAAAAGCTGAGTAAGAATGAGTTTGATAAGTTATGTTGTCGTGTACTTGGGAGGGAGAATCTTTGGCTGCATAATCAATTGATACAGTCAATTTTGAAGAATGCTTGTCAAGCTAAGGCTGCACCACCGATACCTGCAGCAGGCTATCCGAAAACTTCGACGCAAGCTGCAAAAATTTCCCCTGTCATAGAAGATGGGAATGAGGATGGTGGAGCTGTTTTTGCTACTTCCACTCAAGGTATTCCCATTTGGTCCAATGAAGGTTTTTCTATGTCCCCAAGAAAGTGCAGGTCTGGGATACGCGACCGCAAGCTCAAAGATAGGCCGAGTCTACTTGCGCCAAACTTGAAGGTTGAATGTATCTCAGCTCAATCAGCATGCAAGGAAGATGGCAGCTGTAGGATCATGATGGACAATGGCAATGCAACTTCGTGTGACTATCAGAGACCAGTGCAGCATCTGCAAGGAGTTTTTGAACTACCTGAAAACAACATTGAGGCTAGAGTTCAGCGACCATCAGGGAAGCAAGTTCTACAGATGCAGGTTGAAGGAACCAAGGTTGAAGACAGGGAAGAAGCGAGACAGTCAAATCGATCGAGTTTACTTCGGAGTCGATTACTTGCACCTCTTGGGATTCCTTTTTGCTCAGCTAGTATCGGCGGGGCTCACAAAACAAGGCCTGTGGATTGTGGGGGCAATTTTAGCTTCAGCGATATGGGTCATTTGTTGGATACTGAGTCGTTGAGACGACGCATGGAACAAATTGCTGCAGTACAGGGCCTAGGCAGTGTTTCTGCAGATTGTGCTAATATTTTGAACAAGGTGTTGGATGTATATTTGAAGCAGTTAATCAGGTCTTGCGTTGACTTGGTTGGACCATGGCCTGTATTTGAGCCTGAGAAGCCTCTTGCCCATAACCAGCAAATTCAGGGAAAGGTTATCAATGGCATGTTGCCAAATAATCAATTACACAGGCTACATAGCAATGGAAATAGAGAAGTTGTGCACGAGCGCAGATTACACTGCTCGATATCGTTGCTTGACTTCAAGGTAGCAATGGAGCTTAACCCAAAGCAACTTGGGGAAGACTGGCCTCTGCTACTGGAGAAAATTAGTATGCGTGCATTCACAGAATGAAAAGACTGATATTTCTGTTTATCCCAACATCGGTTTGGCTCACCTGTCACGGTCCACACGGTCCAGTGGGGTTGAGAATGGATCTCAAAGACCTCTCAGCTCTTCTCAATTGTGAGTACCCATATTGCTCAAAACTTGATAAAATCTCTGGCTTGCAAGTAGGACAAGCAGATCGAACATCAAACGGACGTTTGTTCTTAAGAATCATTTAACTGTGACTAAGCTTGGGTGCTGTCAGTCAGAATCCCCATCCGTGATGCTTCACATCTCGACAGGCTGCAGCCATGATTCAAGGATCTCAAGCTTTTCGTGTAAATTTGATCATCGAGGAAGTATACAAAATTTTGCAGAGATACAGTTCGTAGCTTGGTGAGAGGTAATTGCTCGTGCAAGAACTTAGTGTTCCTATTTGTGTATTTAAATCTTAGAATTGATTTCATTTCATATGAATAACTCATCAACAGACAACAATCTGCAGATAGTATCCTCTGTATTTCATGCTTCTTTTTTTCTTTGTTAGATAGAAAGATGCAGATGCTATAAAATGGTATAGCATTTCCATTCTCTAAAGATCTGTGTCCAAAATGTTCCACATTTATAATGCAATAGTCAGCCACACTTCGATTCTGCTTCAACTTTTGTTTTCCCTTGGTTGTTTCTAATAGAACTTCTTTGCACATGTCTCATATTCCCAGTTCTTAGTGGTTCTATCAACTGTTCTTACTCCAATCCAGATATTTAGGTAGAACCTAGTATAGAAATCCAGGGAAAGTACAAAGAAGATGAAACTAGAATAGAAATCCTGGAGCGAAAAGCAGTCTTAGTTCTTACTCCTTTCAAAACAATTTAGAAAGTTCAGTAAATGAACGTACTGAGAATTGAAAAGGACGGTTGAACAAGAGGAGAGATTGCATTCACAGATTAGACTGAGTTTGGACTTCTAAAGCCAAAGGCTGGCCTGTGCTTATTAGGTTTAAATAGAACAAATTTGCTATGTACAATAAATCTTGGGTGAAGGGAGAAGATTAATCCTCCTCCTCTTCTTTTATCTGTTGGAATCAATCAAACAAATTATGAAGGCAAAGCTGAAGCAGATTCCTCCACAGATGCTTTGCATATGGGGCACCAGTTCTTCAGCTGCAGCCACTGTTGTATACACCCTTCATGGTAAGTATGCTCGCATCGCAGCATCCCGACTTCATCTCCATTTGAGTACTCCTCCTGTAATTAAATAGAAGTCGGAACACCTCGTTACTTAACTGCTTGAAGAAGTGTGGATTTCAGATTAAAAATGTGAATGATCAAGAAACTCGGGTAGTCTTGAATATGGTTTTCGTCCTTGTAAACATGGCCTCTGAACTTATAGCCATTTTCAACAAAGGTTTGAGGTTCCTATCAACCACCGAGGTTGCCTAATATTTAGGTTCCTATTCCTTCATCTCCTCTTAAACTACACATATCTCTTATAAGAGAGACATCTTGTTTGAAATGGTATAGCATCGTAAACTCAATAGAGGTTTTATGGTAAGGACCAAGACTATGAGTTGAATGGGAGTTGAAGCATTAAAATTGACATTATTTTGGAAGCTTTGTTTCTTTTTTTTTTATACCCTAACGCATCTTACAAAAAAAATCATCAAATTTGGCATGATTTTAGACCAAAAATGTTCAAAAGTTGAGATTCTAGAATAGAAAACAGCTGAACTTTGAACCACAATGTTATCCGGTTATTTTATACATTACCATAATGTCAGATATATTGGTAAATGCACGCAAATCCTGACATTATGGTAACCTTTAACATAACTGGAGAACAAATTAGTTCCCTGGCACACATTTCAGGTATTTTTGCAGCCTCAGTTCCAACATTCTCAAAGCTAAGCTTAAATATGGTTGATTCGTGGGTTTGGTTTAGTGGGTATTTTCCCTTTTTGGTTTCTAACTTTATGGTATAACCAGAGGTTCAGAACAAGCAGTTAGTGTAAACAGACCTGGCAGATGCAGCATTTGACGCCATCCTCGTACTCACTGCCACCGGAAATTGTATCCTCTGCATGTGTAGACTGATATATGCTTCTATTCAAGCATTGTGACAATGCTTCCTCAGTAACTGCTGTACTCACAGTTCCCATTCTCTCTTCTAGAGCGAGTAATTCCTGTCAAGCATCACAAAATAGTTGATAAGTACAAATACAAGAACAGCTGACACAACGCACGGCTAAGAGTAGAGTATTATATATGCTAAAACGCAACTCCCCGAAGGAAACTTGAATGAATTTTTTGCGTAACGAGAAGAAATGATTCATTATAACATCAACTAGGCAGGAGAGATGAGACAGATTTGGATACAATTGATCTGAAAGGCAGCAGCACAATATTTCTAAAGAAATCAGCAAACCTCATATGACATGTTATCGATATCGAGCCTCATGTCTCTATGCTGGTCGTAGACGTTTAAGCCACTAAGGAAAAGGTTGGTCTCTAAAAGAGTTGCTTGCTGCAGGGAAAATTAGATGTTAGCTCAAATTGTAGTGAATGAATAAAACAAACAAGACAAAACATCAGGAACTGTCTACCTCATATGTTAGCTCTTCTTCGTGTTCAATCCTTTCAAGCGCCAACAATACCTTAAAAAGCAAGATGCACCTTTTTAAATTAGAGACGTGGACTAGACCGAGAAAGTGAAGTATTCTTTTGATAGGTCTTCACAAAATAAATTGCAATATATGGAAATGTACCTCTGCAATAACATAGTGTCGAAAGCTATCTCGAGTTGTTAAAGAGCGAGTCAAACCGATTTCTGCAGGACTAGCAGATCTATGACTAAGTATATTCTCATTCATACTATCTGACCTTCTGTAAGATATTGGGTGATCTGAAATCAACTCTGTAGAGACTTCGCGAGCATTATTATCAACAGAGCTTTCAGGTTGATGGTCTTGCGACTCCTGATAGATCACGGATCGGGACTCGTGCAAAGATGTACTGTTTCTGTCGGGTCTGTTGCTTTGTGATCTTGCTCTTGACGTCCCATTAATTGATGTCCTAGACCGAACTAATGCAATGCCATTTTCCCTGTTAGAAGTTCCATTTTTGGCTCCTCTTGAACCAGATATAGAAACGCCATAACCAGAGCTAGTAATCCTTCTTTCTGAAGATGATCCGTTAATTTTCTTTCCTCTTGTAGAGCTACTTTCCGCTTCAGAATTCCTTTTCTTTGCTGTATCCTTCAGTTTACTAAGATTTGGATCTGATGAAGAACAACCCGATGAGATGACATCAGATATCGAATTACATCTGAAATTTCTCAAGGTATGCCTACCTGCACCACCACGTGATGCCGGGCGAGAACTTTTAGACCCCATCAACACAGAAGAACTTGCCAGAGTGTCTTTATTACGCATTCCAGAACCTTGATTGAAATCCCTTCGTCCTCTTGTGTTCGGAGCAACAATGGAGCTTTGTGGTTCCATCACTGTGTGATCGGTGGAATTGGAACTTTTAAGACTAACATGAAGACCTTTTCGTATCCTTTCATTTGATGGGATGCCTTGTGAAATCTCTGAATCATCCTGAGTGCTACTAGTTTCTGAAGAGTCTGTTTCTAACTGGGTCGGTCGTTTTGTCTGAGTTTCAGCTACAGATTTCTTGGAACCTCTAACAGCATAGTAAGTTCGAGAGGAACTTCCAGCTATTTCTTTGCCACTTGAAGAGGTTCGAAAAGACTGCAATGGAGATTTAAGCTTCTCTGAATAGCTACTCCGCGTGCTCTTTGGGGAATTTAGTCTTCCACTGCAGCCAATTCGGCTACAATATTTACCATCTTGGTCTCTGCTATTTGCAGTATCTCTCATAACTGCACTGGGTCCCCTTCTGGATGTGTATCCATTAGCAACTCTTTTACTAGGGTATTCATCCATCTACAATAAATTGCAGGTGCTTCAACACTGCAACAACCAGCTCCAAAGTGAGAAGTTGAAAAAAAAAAAAAAATTACGAAGTCAAGCTGGCAACTCAGGAAACAAAGTGGATGAAGAACAAACCAGTGCAAGCTGCAGTCCAATTTTGAAATAATAGCATATAATTTGAATACAATCAATAATAACAACTTGTCAAAAGTCATCGAGGCCGGGACGAAATCAACAGATAAAATTGTAGAGTATTGAAAGGTATTGTTTCTCAGATTCAAATAAATACTGCTTAGCTTCTTTGCTCTAGGCCGGGGTCGAAACTAAAGCTAGAACTATAACCTAAGAAACACAAACACTTTAATTTCACTAGCGTGTCTATAACAGCTCAAGCCCACCGCTACTAGTTATTGTCCTCTTTGAGCTTTCCCTCAAGGTTTTTAAAACGTGTCTGCTAGGGATAGGTTTCCACACTCTTACAAAAAATGTTTTGTTCCCCTCTCCAACCGATGTGGGATCTCACAGTGTCAAAGACTTAGACATTCTGACACTTGTTGAACACTCATTAGCACAATAAACGTGTAATTTCTGTGTTCATGTCCTAGATTTTAAAACAATGACGTGTGACCGTGTCCGTGTCATGTCATATCCATATCCGTGCTTCTTAGACTATGACTAAATTGTGTAACATTCAAACATCTTTTCATCTTTTAAATAAATAGGTATAAACATAACAAACAAGACAAGAAACTATCCTAAGTTCGTGCTCCTCTCCTCCAAGAATTACAATCTAGAGCATCCACGGCAATGAATCAACCCAATCTTCAATAACGATGATAGCAAAAACATCAATGAGAAGGTCATCCATGATACAGAAACACTTACTTGGGTATAAACATAAACAAATAACTTAGCACTTCCAATAAAACAAATTTAATTACGGTCTATTTTGATATGAAGTTGATCAAATCAATCCAAGTAAGTGAACAAAAACGGGGATAATTTGATTAAAGTCAAAATACAAAGAGGAAAACCAAAAGAAGCAGAAGAAAGGTAAAGGAATCTGCATGTCAGGTGCTCGAAATCCATCCC